TTTAGTAGTTTTAAATCCTTGAAGAGATTAAAGAAAGCGGAAATATCAATGGCGTGATACCGCCGCCATATACTCAACATATGCAACATTCTAGTATCGGGTCCAATGACTTCAGCATAAACTTGTTTACTAGTCTAAAAAATATCAGGATATCACACAATTATTTTGAAACTAAACATGGAAAGTCATTTTTCGATTCCATTCGATCAGGGTATGGGCTTTAAATTTTTGCTAAAGAAATAGATATGCGATCTATTCTATCGCAGATCTCTATTATAGGAGATATTATACTGACAAAAGTGTGTTTATTAGAATTTCGCTCATACTTTCAATTTTTATTTATAGAAATATGCAGAGTTATGAGTTAAACATATGTAGGAAAAAATGTAGTTGATCAATGTGCGATAAAATTATGAAAGAATCGTATGACTTATGTTAAGCTCCGTAATACAAGTAAGCTATATTAAGTGTATTTTTCAATTAGGTATCACATTAGATATTAGCTTCATCTTTCATACAGAGCTATTCCCAGAGTTATGACATATTTGATATCATTGGAATATCATAACTATTATGTATATGTTAAATGTTTAATTAGAAAATAAATATGTAAATAAATTATTGAATTATAATATCATAATTATTTGTGTAAAGGGTTTTTATTAAAGATTCGTTAAATCTAAAACTAACTTTTTTCATGTTAAAAAAATATTCTTATGCAGATTTTTTTAAAATTTCTAATTCCACTTCAATTTTAGTGCATCAGTGCTGCAACAGGGAGTCACAATAATTGTGGATGCACAAAAAAGTACAACGCGTATTACCCGCAGCCATGCGCGCATTATTTACGCACTTTTCGTTGATATCACAGTCAATTTGTATCTAGTCAGCGCAGAATGTTTCTGGGAGAAACATGTGGAAACATGTACCAAATCACACACCAAGGGTGAAGTAAGTAAAAAATCAATTTATGCCAAAAAAATTAGGATTGCCAATTTAACCTAATTTTTATTTTTTAAATTTATTTCAGCCCATTGCGCTGTCAAAGTCACGTCTGTCAAAATATTTCGATATGAGTAATTTGCCTGAAGAACTTGGCGGTACATTGCAATTTAATTACGATTTATGGTTACAACAGCGAAAGGTTAATAATACTCACATATATATTAACATATATATTTTGAAATATAGAATCAATTATATTTGTAATTTACATAAAATATTATCTATATTATGTATTTTATAAAATAAAATATTATTCTGTTATGTTACATATTTTAGTCTATTGATGAATTTAAGAAAGCTTATCAACAAACCATTAGCGCAATGGAAGCATTACATGTGCTACTTTTAAGTAATAAGTCATTGAGGCCAACGGAAGCAGATATTGAGCTCAAGAAGTGTACACAAATGCACGCAACAGTACAAAGGAGTATTGAGGAAGCAGTAGAGTTAGGTAAGTTTTAATAAGAACTGAGCCATATAATGAAATAATTTTATATACATATTTTTTTATATTGCTTATGTACTACAATTCTCATTATCTTTAATAATAATTATTTATTTAAGCAATGCATTCAGCATTCTCAGAAATCAGTTTTAATACAAGTTTAATATTGAATAAAACAGTAAGAAGTAAATTTATACATTTGTACTATATAATATACTACGTGTACATATGTTTATTAACAATTGCATATAAAATTAATAACTATATAATAAAGTTTCCAATTAGAAACTTAGATACTAGATACGTAGCATAGCGTTCTTATAAAGTAAATATAGAGATTGTTATAAAGTGTTGTTTTGAAACTAAAGATCAAAATACTGTCCTAATAGATAATAGATAAAAAACAAATGACAACAGACGAAGTAAATAGATTGGAAATATCTTCAATATAGTTACATTTTAAAATATAGTTATGGTATTTTCTGCAGAGAAGTGGAAAAATAGTGAATCTATTTGTAGAATAGAGAAGTGGAAGAAGAAGTAGAAGTTAAGATGTAAGTATATAATTAAAATAAAACAAGTTAACTCTTCAATTTGGCATACATATTTATATTATATTGAAGATATTGTCTTCAAATTTAAAAAAAATTTTTCTTAAAATCTTAAAAATCTTAGAAATTTATCAGAACCCATATGGTATAAATATCAACCGATGTTGGCAGTGACAGTCCGTATCTTGTGAAACGATCTTATTAAGCTTATAAGAAGTAGCTCATTGCGCTATGACAAACTATTTTATACCACAGTAACTAACTTCTAAGAACTTAAATCAATGAACAGTTTTGTTCTGGACCAATCTTCACATATATACACAACAATTGTACCTTAAAAAATCAGGAAGACTTACTTTCATGTAAAAAAAAAAATTATCTTAATAAGTTACTTCAATAGACTAAACTTTCATTAAGCGTCTTACTGGTATCATTTTGTCGGTTGTCCAATAAAAGATACCAACTATATATGTGTCTTTCTATTTATATATTTTACTTACTTTCTGAGTTGTCGCTTACAGACATATATCGTTCTCGGTTTCATTTAGTAGGCTCGCTAGCTATCTTGATCAGCAGTAAGTATAGACTGGCCAACATCTTCCACAACATTATCCCAACTACTTTATTTGTGTTCTTTATCGATGATACGTTTTTGGAGGCCAATTGTGTCTAGTTACCATCGCCATCAACGGTGGTTGGTACCAACTGGCAAAAATCTCCGACAGAGTTTTGTTAACTAGTTATCTAACTTACTTATGTGCTTAGTTGGTATTTAGTGACGTATTTCTGTATTGGTCGTATACAATATCCTTGCCAGCCATTTTAATCAACCGGCATTACCGACAGTTGAATATTTTTTATCGACCTTTTTAGCAGCATGAACTGAATCAAACATTTTTTTGTCAGAGATATTAATTTTTTTGCACAATATGACCAAATCAGTACATCTATTGAAGTTTGATATGCTGACCTAAAACAATATGACACAATAGCTTATACAGCTCATTGTTCTATTTAAATAAGTACTCTTTACCACTGATTATGGGACCATAAATCTTTTAAAAAATTTTCTTCACGAATACTCATTCCCATTAATTTTGTTTATTGTCAATTTTCTAAACACCTATTATTAACTCACTGGTAAAAATACAGTTCTTTTTAGTTGTATTAAACATTTATGGTAAGATCATAGGGTGATGTTTCGTTAGGTTGTGAAGGGAAAGTTGTTCACTATATACTTTAATTTAACAAAAACTCTATGGATTCTATAATATCTGCTTGACAAATTATCCGTCAGATTAGTTACCAAGCCGAACAATATATGTAAATAAAAAATTCTATTCATAGTTCCAAAAAATTAATTTTTTTTTTAAATTTCAAAATTAATTTTCCGATTTAAAAATATTTTTTTCATTTAAAACTACAGCTAATGCTTTCTGATATGCAACATTTTTACTTTCCGAATGTGTAATTTTATATACCATGTAAAAATTTTTCCAAAAGATACTATTTAGTCCCTTTAATATGTATAATATCTCATAAATATTATTTTTAATGCCAATGAGAAATATAAATAGAGAATATTTTTATTAATTCATTTTCTATTCCCAAAATATGAAGTCATTTCTGTCTGAACTCTGTTAATTAAATTACTAATTAAAATAAGATATTAGTCGGCCGTTTCTCATGACCAACAAAAAGAAAGCCTAGCAGACTGCAATCGGCTTTGTTATTATACTGATTTTAATGAATCATTTAGCATAAAGATTAAGTTAACAAAAATTAAAAATTTAAATGCGTATGCCACATAAAAAACATAAGTTTACTAACAAAAAGTTTCCGGTATGAATAATTAAAAAAAAATTATGAAACTGGCATGTGAACGAAGAAGACATTCTATCTTCAGTCTTTTGTTTTATAAACAATATAAAAGAAAATATGGCTAAAAAAAAGTAGCTGCTTTAGATTGTTTTATAATATTAAATAATACTGACTTGATTATTTTATATGGAGTATTTAATATAAAATAAAATTATCGCAAAGTTTTACAATATTTTTACCTTCGTTATTAGCAAATTGCCTTGGGCATTAACATATTTCCAATGAACTGCTCTAAGTATGAACACAAATTATAAGCAAAACTAGTTGTCAAAAATTAGAAACAAAATTTTAATAAGTAGTTTGGATTGTATGTAGGCAATTATTGGCAGTGAATTTAAGTACACTTAGCCAAGCACAACAATCAAGTAAGCAAAGCATTTAATATTGACAATTGCGAAAATAACAACTTGGAAAGATAAAAAATCAGACTATGCGTTTGAGCTCAAGTCAGGTTAGTTAAGCCAAGTGCGTTGTTATTTCCACAAACTGCTGTAGCCCACCAATGTATCTTACTATATTACAGCACAGATAGTCAGCACTCATTGGATTTTTGATACAAACATATAGATATGTAAACTGTTTGTGCATATTCAGGGTCTGATGGGTTTATCTCTATTTTGTTGTGTATTACAAATAAATAAATGCTACCTTTCACCTGTAATTTAAGCCGAAATTAAATCTCTTTGAAAATATAATAGTAAATGTAATAAAAATAAAATGAAAGTAAAATTTATACCCAGAAGCTCAGGAGAAAGGTATTATTGTTAACCCATATAAAAGTCATAAATTGTAATTAAAAGAATTTGTAGTAATTGTTATTTTGTTTTTATTTTTTTTTTGTTTTATATATACGTTATATATAGTATAATCGCTTCAATTATACTTCTAACATTTAATTTAAAAGTGATTAAAATAAAGAAGTATTATTATCTCCTCCAATGATTAGCAACAACTCATGATTGTTCAGTAATGTAATTTTTGATACAATAAATGTTAATAATTTGAATAAATCGTTTTTTATAATACACATTAAATTCTGAAAGATATGAGTATATTATGAATAATTAATTAGAAAAATTAAATAAACTGTGTCAAACACAATAGTATTTTTTAAATTAAAATTGAATTGAATTGAATCGATAAAATAGGCGTTTTGGGACACATCACCTCTCTCCCCTTTAATTATTTTTTCTTAAATTGAAATTTAAATTAACTCCCATTAGCCATTTACTAATAACCAAGAGGAATAAATGAAACACCAGCTCATGTCTATTTCTTGAAAACAAGAAAAATGAAAATATGCGAAAAAACTTCTATAACACGAATTTATCTATAACTCAAACTAAAAACAGTGCACAAGGGTTTTAGACAGCAAATTACATACTATTCCGCTTCCATAACTCGAACTTCTATAACTCCAATTTTTCTATAACTCGAACAAAAAGTTTTTCACTTACCGATAGGAATATGTGGAAAATGCATTCTAAAAGTCGAATTTTTGTTTTAAGTAGAACATAAATGCATTTTGCTGTTAGGGAAAGTCCCTTTTTCCAAACCAAATGTTTAATTTTTTCCTTTCTTATGTTGCTTCTTTGTGCAAATGCCAGTCGCTGGCAGTGTAGTTTAAAGTAAATAAAATAACTTCCAATGCTATTCTTAACGATTATATTGATGTTTTGGACAAATGGAAATTTGTACATTCACTGCTTTCTAAAATACCAATTCTAAGCGTAACGGAAACTGATGAAGAGGGTTCGGTGGATGTTATTGTTTATCAGCCTTCCAAGAATGAAGTAGAAGACTCATTCAAAATTCTGAATTTATATTTGCAAACGAATGATACTACAACTGATGATCACTGTCAGGCATGGAATAAATTGGATTCTCTTTTTACTGAAAATAAGAAGAAAAAAAAATTAAAATCCCAAACCCTAATTTCTGCATATTTTACTTCACTATAACTTCTGTGCTTTATTTGATTGCAAATAAATAAATAACTAAAATGTAATTCTAGTTTCTTGAAATCTCCATAACGCCAGATCGGTCAAATCAGGTTTCTATATAGTTATACCTATATAATTATCCAAAATAATTGTACAAATACTGCATTTAGAGTTATATAAAAAAGAAACATAAAATTTGAAACATAAAATATATGTATAAACATAAAATATATATATAAACATAAAATTTATATATCATTTTTGTGTATTGTAATAACTCTTTTATGTTGCCACAATTAATTTGTCAATAATAATAATTTGAATGAAATTTCATGTAAGCTTTGTTTAGACTCTAAACATACTTTCAAAATATAAAATATTAAATTAAATATACATAAAGATCTTTGGTACAGGGATTTCGAAAAGTAGTAAACTACAACAACAAAAATTATTTTTATTATATTTTTATTAATTGAATTTGGGTGACTTTTCAGCTGCTTCAAGTATTGCCAAATACCCATCACCAGTTGAGTATAGATTCAACTATAATAAAATTTTTTTTAAGTGCAAAGATAATGTTTTATTTATTTAAATAAAATTACATTAAAACAAAAACGAGTTAATGGATTTATTTCATATTGTAGAATGGCTGTAAAAATGAAGCTGCAACAATCAAAAAACTTTCCTCTAAATAAGTTTTTTTTTATATATCTATTTATATTTTAATTTAAATATAAGATTGATTAATCACAATATACATACAAATGGACAGAAAATTAAAAATTTTCACAAGCAAATGTAGATTAGAAATGTTAATATTGATTATAAAAACTGTTTACAACATAAACACGCATATTTAATTTCACTAGAAAATTCAAAACAAAAAATTAAAAATATTAATTTTCATTTCATCTACAAATCAACTTTCTTCAATCAGGTAATCGTATCTTAATGCGTCTCACCGAAGCATATGCACAGCCACCACCCAAGCTGGAACAAATGCCAGCAACAAATAGTAATCACAATAATAGTGAAACAATAGTGAAATCACCTGCATTGGCCTTAACACTGACCGCTGCATCTTCTTCTTCGCCAACGAGTACCGGCAGCAGCAATGGCACTGGCACTACAATACCCCAGAAACAAGCCTTACCGTCAGATCTGAACTGTGAACGCACACGCATCGAACTACGAATCAATGAAATTGAAAAGAAACAAACTGAGATACGTACAGCGTGGCTGGAACTTTTGCAGTGCATACGAGAAGCACGTGAGTTGGCTGCATTAGAGGAGGGTGTGTCATTTGTTACAAATTGGATACTTAATACGGCAGAACAAATGCTAAATCGACAGCAAACGATTGGTTGTGATGTACGTGCCTGCGAAGCATTACGTTCAGCACATGATGCACTTGAATTGGAATGTCGTGAAACCTATGGTTTCTATGCGGAGTTACTTTATAAGATTAATATATATGGAGGCTCAAAAGATAATTTCACCTACAAAGATCTAATGTCACAGAAGGACTTTATGAATTTTGTTTGTCGTTCCTTTGCAACGCGTTTGGAGCGCAGACGTAATGTACTGATCACGTCATTGCGGTTTTTTCGTCTC